AATTTATAAACTTTTGATGCCTACACGTCCTCAGGGAGCTTTCACTGCGGGGGAGGTACCCACTAAACGTCAGAGCCCTGGATTGGCAGAGGTTCCTGTTGCTGCCCTGTTTTGTCTGTGTTTACGTCACTAAGGAATCCAGCAGGTTCCATGCCTCTGGCAGTCACTGTGAAGCAACCCACTGTTTTCTGGACCTCTGGTGTCAGGAGAGGGAGGTTGGGAAGAGCCTCTGACCGTTGTTAGCACGGCCACGTTTTCAGGGTTGACCTGGCCGTGGATCAGAGCTGCGCGTCGCAGGGGGCCTTTCTTTAGCTTCCTCACCACGGCCCTCCTGTAGGGTTTCAGTCTGAGTGAGCCAAGTAGGAAAACATCTGCCCCTGAGTAAATGATGCCCCTCTTCTGTCTTGAAGCTGTTCGTTTCGTTTTCTTTCTTGGTGCTCTGCCCACACCTCATTCCATGAATTATGTAAACTAAACCTGGGTGGTGTAGATGGCACATCCCTGTAATCCCGGGAGCCCACAGGCTGAACGGGAGGACATGAGTTCAGAGCCAGCCAGGGCTTCCAGCAAGGACTCGAAAACCGAGGCGTTTGTGATTTATGGTACCCAGACATGTGATACCTCCTGTCTGAGAGATGCTTTGTGAGCAAACCTTTTTTTTTTTTTTACTGATTTGGAGCAGATTCAGGCGTTTTGTTTTAATGAGAATAATAATAAACTTTCATGGTTAGGTACCCATTAGTCGGTTTTGTTCAGGCGAGCTGGCGTCCCTCCTGTGTATCACAGAACTGCTGTTTGTTCTCGCTGCTTTCTCGTTTCATTTCAGTTTGTATTTATCTGAACTGAAACATGCGTGAGGATTACGTGTTAGTAAGCCTCAGGCTAATTATATTGTAAGATAAGCCTGTCCTAAGCCTCATAAGAATGTATCTTTCGGCCCTTCTTTTCGTCAGAGGTTAAGGGACTAAGCAAGGCACAGGAATTATCTTCAAAGATGCTGGCTCTAAATTGGGGATTTTAAAAGCCAAGGGCTTGGCACAACACCTTTCTCGAGTGTTCAAGGCCCTGAGTTCAGGCCCAGCACTGAAGACAAGCAAGCCCACCCCAGGACAAAGGCATGTAGGCATGTAGTTATGTGTCCAGTAACTAAACCACATGAGGACTTTTACTGTCTAGAAAAGGTAGCAGCTGAGGACTGTGGGTAAGACAGTATTGCTATGGACACCGGAATCTGGGGTGAAAAGGAAATACACCATAGGGTCATATGTGATGGTGCCGTAAGGAGACAGGCACATAGTGGACTAGTGTTTCCAGGGGGGCACCAATGACAGCTCATTGAGAAATGGACAGAGGGGGGCTGGTACTCAGAGCCCACGCACTGTGGCTGAGGAGCAGACTATGTTCAGGTTGTGGGGCAACACATCTACCGATGGGTCCTGGTATACACGGTGCAGGCAGGAAGTCTGAACGGCTTCAGTGATGCCCAGCACAAGCAGGAGCGGGAACAAGGGCTTCGTGAGTGGGACAGCTTTGTTGTGTCGAAATTGAGAGGGAAAACGGATTAGCAAGACTGAAGAACCTTGAGAGCTGGGCTAACACTTCTCGGATCCAGGCAGTGGTAACACCGGATGTTAGATGCTTTTCAGGAGAGTATTCATTTAGTTAGTACTGATGGCCACTTCAGGGTCCATGATGGACTCAGGTCACAGGAAAGAAAAGTAGATTTCTGCTCATATGGAGTTTATATGTAATGGGACAAAGGTGGTAAAAAAAAGTTGGGGTCAGGTAATAATATTTCCCCTGGGTAGGAAAATCAAAGGAAGGGGTGAGGAGTGAAGGAAAGATAGGCCAAGTCTTCAGGAGTTGACCTGGGTAATGCGAAAGGGTCTCTCCTCACTGTGGGAAAAGAGTTCCTGGGAGAAGTGGAGGCTTTGACTGCAAAATGAGCAAAAACTTCCTGGTGGGGCAAAGCCGTCAGGAGTTCACAGAGAATGGCATGCAGTGTCACCAGGGGATGGAAAACCTTTGAGCCCTGCACATCCTGGCAGAGTGGAAGGCGGTAGGTAAGGCAGAGGTGACGAATGTGCTGCCATTCTGGTCTCCTGTGGTAGCAGTTAGCGGGAGGAGGTAGGCCAGGCCATCGCAGTCCTCCTGAGGTAAGGCTGCGGCCTAGGCAGGCCGAGAGCAGCAGTGCTGGAGGGATAAGCTGGGTGCGGATGGTAAGCACAGACGTGGGTAGTGTGGGGTAGACGCTCTCGGTCCCCCCTCCCCCTTTTCATCAGGGACACTTGGGTGAAAGAGGCTGCTGCTGGCTACCCTCCTTAGCTTCAGTCAGCCCTCCCTGTGGAGCATCAACTCTCGGTGACTTCTGGGGTTTAGAATGAACAAGACCTGAACTGTGTCATGGTGGGCTAGGAGATCCTGGAGGAGAGGAAGGCAGCACAAGCCAAGATCTATTCAGACATGAGGGTGGCATGCCGGTTGGCTATCCCGGCGCTGGCCAGTCAGCAGGAGCGCCCAGGACTCAGGCCTGTCTCCGATTTTGAATGAAATACCAGCTGGACAGTCAGGTGGAGCCAATGAGTTAGAAATTAGGAATAATTTATAATGAATAATAGAGTTAGAATTGGAACTTGAGCTTAAAGGGGAAGTCATTCTGACTAGAAGAACCTGGGAACCCATCTGAGGGAGACGGTGCTATGGGCAGGATGGCGAGTGCCTCTGAAGTACGACAAGGCCATGGAGAGTGGGCATAGCAGTCAAGAGAAGGGCGTTCAGGGAGCTGCAGTGTCTTGGGAGAAGTCGTGAGAAAGGGAAGGCACGGGAACTTGGAGAATACTGGTCACAGAATGTGAAGGTAATTCTCAGGGAAGTCAAAAACATTCAGAAAATACTGACTGAAAGAGAAAAACTGTAGGGCCAAATACCGAATGAAGGGTTTTTGTGTGTGTGATGGCAGACATAAGGGAGCCGGTGCAGGAGGGAAGTGAGGATGCTAGGAGCGAAGACCCTAGCAGGGGAGTCTAAAAGACTGCCTGCGTGGACCCGTGAAGAAACGACTCGGTGGTTAACAGTACTGTGGTCGGAGGCAGGAGCTGAAGGCAAGAGAAGCCAGTGTTTTGAGTAAGACTGAGGGGAGTTGTGGAAATGGCTTTGATACGGCCAATGGTGTTGTCCGTGACAGCTGTTTTAGGATCGTCGATGGGGTTCTTCACCCTGGCCTTGGCCTGCAGAAAGTATAAAAGAAGCTAATGAAAGAAAGTGGGGAACAGTAGTCTTAAGAGTTGTTCGGCCCCACAGCAGAGGGGAGCAGGGGATGGAGCTGGTCCTGGGCTGGAGAGATGACTCCTCTAGAAGGCCCTTGGTTCACCGGCACCTTGTGGTGTGACTCAACAATGGTCTCTAACTTGTTCTAATGACTTACACCTTCTTCTGGACATGTCAAGCACTGTGTTCATGAGTGGTGACTTGTAACCCAGCAGAACCATCGGAGTTACCAAGAGACTGATGGGACCCGTTTTCTACCACCTTTCCTGGAAGCCAGACAAATACCCACGAGGAATAATCTTTACGTACTTTCAGAATCTTCACGGGGAAAGCCCCATCCCCCACTGGCTCCGGAGCAGCAGTGCCTGGCGGCAGCGGGGAGCTTATGGGCTGACGCAGTAGGCATGGAGGACTTTGGGGGTGATAGCTAGTAAGCCGTGATGTGTCACTCTCGTAGCTAGACAGGGTCCCATACCTCTGGACTCCACAGAGTCCCATACGCCCACGAATCTCCAACAAGGGAGTTTAATGTTTTACGAAATATCCAACCATATGGCCTTTATTTTCATGAAGAATGTTTGGGCTAGTTTTTAGGTCCAGCTTTAAATGCTACGTTACATGACTTCAGCAGTCGGCTTTCAAGTTCCCAAGCTGTTGAGGGAGCCACTGAGTGAAGGCAACGTCAGGTTTCACGTCTGGAGGGAAACAGTTCCAGGGTTGTGTCTTTGTTCGCGGAGAGCTGGGCTACACTGTGTCACAGATAGACTAATGTGTCTACCACTGAGTCCTGTTCGGTTGAGTCAGCAGAATGCAAGCTGTTGTTACAGGGTGTAAACGTGGCAGAGTGTGATCAGGGTGTAACGGTGTAAACGTGGCAGAGTGTGATCAGGGTGTAACGGTGTAAACGTGGCAGAGTGTGATCAGGGTGTAACGGTGTAAACGTGGCAGAGTGTGATCAGGGTGTAACGGTGTAAACGTGGCAGAGTTATGATCAGGGTGCAGACGTGGCAGAGTATGATGGGGGTGTAAGCATAGCAGAGTATGATGGGGTGTAAACGTGGCAGAGTATGATTAGTAGTATCTGGTTTTTAATAAATAGGGATAGACAGTCTGAATGGAGGCAGACATAACTGAGTGGTCTTAGGATCACTAGCCTCTTCCATTTAACTGTAAAAACAAGCAGATAAGTTATCGAAAGTAGATGCACCTTAAGCCTTAGAGCCGTCTGTGGCAGGGGTTAACCTTCAGGCAGTGTCTTCCGTTCTGAGCACACCGCAGTTTACATCCGTCACCTGGGCACTTGTCCTGACTCCCAGTGAAGAGCAGCTTTGTTCTCAAGTTTACGGTGACACGAATCCTCTTCTTTCTCAGATTTGCCAAGCAGTCGGTAACTAGTGGGGACAGGAATGCTGCCAGGGACGACACATTGATGTAGCCTGAGTGGCTTCAGTATGCGATACGTCCTTTACCCATACGCATACTAATTCGCAGTAGTGAGACATTCTGTGTGAGGTTTCCCAGGTCATCCTAACTGCCGATGGCAGTGTTAGGAGCGTCAGTCTGTGTCTAGACTTTTCCACGGGTCCTGGTAAAAGAAAAGGCCATGTGTGTTCTTTAGGTATGGCCCCGAGATAATATTGACCAGCACAGCTGAAGTTCAAAGCACACGGGACTACGTGGCAGCAGCCGTGTCTGCCTTCTCCCGCAAATGTCTGTCTCTCCTTTGTTCGCAGGTAAAGTCGGTAATAAACCTTCTGTTCGCCGCGTACACTGGAGATGTGTCTGCCCTCCGGAGGTATGGTCGCTGGGTGGATGCGCTGTGGCTTTAGGTGTTTGAAGGTCTTAAGGTCTCACCCACACTTGTAATACAGGTCACCAAATAATATACAAAGAACCCCACTTGCACTTATAGCGGGCCCCCACTTCCCGTGTCTCGGACCTGCTTCTTGTCCTTCCACAGAAGCCCAGCTCTCTGTGGTAACTGGCCCCTAACTGGCTAGAGGTTGGCTGTAATGGATCTCTGGTGACACCGGTGTTCGGTGCCGCGCACGTTACCAGGACTAGAAAGGCCACGGGCCCCTGAATACTGAGCGAGAGTTCCCTCTTGGAGCTAAGTTGGTTTCCATGCTGTTTTAAAAGCGTTAGCAGGCCGGGCGGTGGTGGCGCACGCCTGTAATCCCAGCACTCGGGAGGCAGAGGCAGGCGGATCTCTGTGAGTTCGAGACCAGCCTGGTCTACAGAGCTAGTTCCAGGACAGGCTCCAAAACCACAGAGAAACCTTGTCTCGAAAAAAAAAAAAAAAAAAAAAAAAAAAAGCGTTAGCAGCACGGGTAACTCCAGGCAGTGTAGTCGAAGAAGGGGAGGCCTGCTGGAAGCACACTGCTTTACTATGGGCGTTTTTGCCTCTTTGGTGCTGATCCTGGATTTGCATCATGATGGGACGAAGCTTAGTTTTGGGAGCGGCAGCTGATGCTCATCTCACTGGAAAGTAGCTAAGGAGGAGCGGTCACGTGGCATTCACCCACGGCTCCGTGCTGGGGTGGAGCTGGTAGAGCGTGGGATCTGAATGAGCGGCCTGGCCTGAACGGATGGAGTAACTGTTACCACCCGGTTAACCTGACCACCTGTAGTGAATGGCTGTTCCGGACTTTCAGGTTTGCCCTTTCGGCCATGGACATGGAGCAGCGGGACTACGACTCCAGAACAGCCCTCCACGTGGCTGCCGCCGAGGGTAATGCGTGAACCGCGAACCGCTTGCTACAGTTTTTACAGAATTCAGTTCTTCTCAAAACTAAAATCTCTTTTTGTGTGTTGGGGGCTGCAGGTCATGTGGAAGTGGTTAAATTTTTGCTGGAAGCTTGCAAGGTGAACCCCTTCCCCAAGGACAGGTGAGTGCATTGCCTTCTGGTGTGATTGATAACACAGTCTGAATACATGGGATGGTCGTGTTGAGTGACAGCTCCGGGTGAATGTATCAAGGGGCTTGCTTGTGACATCAAAGCCTGCCTTATTCGGAAATCTTAGGTTAGATATCAGTCAGCCCGTATGAAGAAGACACAGCTTTGTACTTGAAAAGATAAAATGGGAATTCTGTTCTCACAGGACTAACGACACATGGTGGACAAGACCGAGGGGTGGGAAAGTTGGTAAAAAACGTTCATCTTTGGTGTGTTGGCATTGATGGGTATCCCTGGATTTGGCACAGCTAGTTTTTGAAGGCTTTGTGGAAGCTGAAGTTTCAGTGGTCCACTGGAGAGGACTCTGGATGGCACCGAGTGAGGAAGGGTGTGTGCTGCAGTGGGAAGAACCTCCTAGAACGCTGCTCCTCCATGCCCCCCTCGCCCACATGACCACTTCCCAGCCCGGGCTGTGCTGAACAGGCACTGCTGTGCCCACTCCCTGGGCATCCCCTCCTAGAGTGGACTGGGTGAGCCGCGTGCACAGTGAGGACAGGCTGATCCTGTGAAGAATGCAAGGGAACAATCATACTTGTGCTGTTGGAGGAGTAGGTTCGGAAGGGAGCCCGAGAGCTGCATAAAGGTGGGAATAAGCTAGCACCCTCCTGGGGAGCTGACCAGCTTACTAAGCCTTTTTTTTTTGGGGGGGGGGACTAAATCTTGGTTCAGCGTACAAAAAGTGAGAAGCCAGTGTATCTGAAATTTGCTAGCAATTTTGTAAGGTGGCGACGTGTTGGCTGTCTCTCCGTTTCAATGATCATTAAAAACAATGATTGAAATTAGTTGCGTTGACAGCCCCCCCCCCCATCTACCAGCATAGTGCCCGTCATAGTGCCCAGCAGAGTAAGAGGCCGAAAAGTGTCTCGCTGTGCTTAGAACTCAAACACTACCTACGCAATGCATGTTGGGAACACTATGTGAATTCCTCCACTCCAAATTTGCCTCTGAGAATGTGGCAACACAGGCATCCATCTTCTAGACAAAGGTAGCTGACTAACTTGGTAGCTGTGGATTTAACTGTGCATCCAGAGTGAAGCCTAGACCCGGGTGTATTTTCCCATTGATAAGAGTCACGTCGGCTATTGATCAAATAGCAGGAGTGAAATAGTGTATTCCTTCCCGAGAGACTTTTCATTACGTAGTGGAAGAGATGTAAAGAAGACTGGGCAGATGCCCCCACCCACAGATTAACACAAACATTTGGTCATGTTAGAGCCAAGTTTTTTTGAGAAACGTAAGAGACACGTAAAGTGATACTTACCTGATTTTGAACATCAAGGACAGGCCACTAGAAACATCGAATGCTAACTTAAGCACTTTTGGTTGTTTCTGCTTTATGTTGTGACCCATTAAGGTGAAAGGTTGAGGGTAGATACGGAATGAAGGAAAGAGGCTAAAGCAGGGAGGTGGGGGAGGAACAGGAACCAGCAGAGGGAGCTGAGAGGGCGGGCTCATGGGTTGTGAAGGAGCCAGGAGCCAGGGAGCATGTCCGGTGTCTGCTGGGCCTTGGGCTGACTCATGGCTTGTCCTCGAATCTCCATCTTCCTCTCACAGTGGGGATGACGAGTTCTGGTCAGGCGGTGGGCCAGTTAAGCCTGCAGCCCCCTACCCTTGCTGGGTACGAAAAAGGGTCACTTCCTCTGGGCAGGTCTTGCTTATCTAACATGTATTCGTTGTCACGAGGATGTTGTGACTTTTGAATTCACAGGAACGTGAATTTTCTGGGAAAGGTTGGGATGATGCGTGTTACTGCCTTAAACACCCGCGACACTAGACTTGGCTTCCATGCCCCTCCCTTAGCACGTGGGTATGGAAGCGGGGTCTTTTCACAGGACCCCTCTGCCCCTCAGTTGTCCTCCTGGGTACCAGGTGCCTCACTCAGACCAGCTGTTGGGCGCCTTTGCCGTACTCACTTGTGATGCTGCTAATGGCACTGACCCTGAGTGGCCAGGGAACCTGGGATGGACCTAGAGCCCAGGGATGCTGGGCAGCCGTCTCTGTGCAGCAGTGCTGAGTACTGACGCCCCTGTCTGTGTCCTGCAGGTGGAACAACACCCCCATGGACGAAGCGCTGCACTTCGGACACCACGACGTCTTTAAAATCCTCCAGGAATACCAAGTCCAGTACACACCCCAAGGGGACTCTGACAACGGGAAGGAAAATCAGACTGTCCACAAGAACCTCGATGGGCTGTTGTAATGGTCCGAGAGGCTTGGGTTACTTACCTATCCGATTGTGGAACATGGCTATGAAGAACATGTATATTTCTGTCTGGCAGTGATGTGCACTGTGCGTTTGTCCTGTCAGTGTTACTGGAGTTTCCTTCCTTGTGCGCACAGGACAAAATCTGATGTCTTTGGGGAAAATAGAAATAAAAGAACCTCCCTTCATAATGTGAGCAATAGTTACCTCTTGCGTTGCACAATTTGATGTCCAGGAATAGTTAGTTACCAATGCTAGCTGACGTGTGTGGCCCTCATGAGTTGTGTGTGTTGTAAACTTTCAATCCCCGGGTGATGATATCCTCATAGGCATTTATGAGCTAAGCTTCGTTGTACAGTTTACCCGTGGGGTTGATGCTGTCATTAGATAAACCAGTGTGGTTTTCAAGACTTTAAATATAGATTAGCTTGAGTGTTCGAACAACTATACGCACATGGTTGAGTATTTAAAATGTGTCCTCTCACCCTCGCGTCAAGGTGACTCCTTCAACACTAAAATAGTTGCTAGCCATTCATAGAACTCACCAATTCTGATTAGGTTTTATCAGGGACTCTGTGACGATACGTTTGGTGACCAAAACATACGCGTGGATATAGTTCTAGTACCTTTGAGACCTTTCCTTTCATACGGTCCTCAGGCCAGCCTCTCTGAGGCCTTGGGAAAGTGAGTGCCGGCATGCTCTGCAGTCTCGTGTGTCCTCGGCAAGTCAGCAGTGCTCACATTCCTAGCCCAGAGACAGAGCCTGGCCGTTATCTACAGAAGAGGAACCAAGATTCAGGCGTCTAACTTAGCTTAAGAGGAAAGACAGTGCTACCGCAGACTTGGACGTTTCTTTCAGCTTCTACAACAGAGAAAAGTTCAGACATGCTCTCCGTTACCAAAGTTGCAGGGACACGCGTAGGGACAGCCGCAGAAGACATTTCCCTTCAGTCCTACTGGCAACGGTCTGCATAGGCTAGCTGTCCCTTCCCGAGGCCTGGGGGTCACTCTGCACTGCCCCCCCCCCATTCCTAACACTCGGGCAGACTCGACCAGTCAGGAAAGATGACGTCTTTGTAAATTTAGACTCCCCATGTCTTTGTTTTGGAAAAGTGATTTCTGAGTAACTTAGACAACAGGTCAAAGGAACCTTAGCGAGAACCCAGTTTTCTAGCAGTTGCACATAGTGGACCCTATTCTACTTCCGAGACACGAGGGCTCTGTTAGTGAGGACTTCTGGTGATGGAGCACATGTGTGCATACGCATGCACACACAATGCACTTCTTGGAAATTGCCCGCGGAAGATGCCCGCGGAAGATGCAGAATTCTCAACTACACAGATGCAGTGGTAACCACATTAACACAGAGTCTCTGACCCTCGCTATCAACACAGAACTGCACCCGAGTTTCCTGACGCCTGGCGGCACAGTATCCAGTAGCCGCCAGCTGCTGTGGTCCGTTTTCAGCTGTCCCCTGCCATTCCCTAGCCAGCGCCCCCCTGGATGAAACCCTTAACGAGTGCCCCTTCCCTGAGCCAGGCACCCCCACCATGGATCTAAGTTCCAGGAGCTGTGGGAGGATGGTGGGCAGGCATCCAGCTCTGCCACTGTGTTCTGCTTCCACAAGCCTCTCGAGACAGGCGGACAAGCGGCACTACACTTTGCTCGGAGCCATCAGTCCCAAAGTTAAGGCGTGACCGCGGTTTAGTTTGAATCCACTGAGCTCACGCTATTCCAGAAGCAACTGGCTTTGCGTGGTTCAATGCGTGACTTAGCTATCACCAGTGACTCCGGGGCTTCTCTGAATGTTATTCTGTATATTATTTGAAAACAGAAGTTGTATCTTTTCTAAGATCAGTGCCGTTTTGTACAGTCTTTGTGGCCTGGTTAAATAGGCTCTTTCCCCTCACGGTGTTATGACTATGTGCCAGGTCTTGCTCCGGCTCTCTGCTAGTGGCTGATATTAAGGAGAACACTTTTGTTTAAATGCTTGAATGAGCTGTTACTGCTGCCATCAGTAAACTCCAAAGATCTTATTTTTTTGTTTTGTTTTGTTTTGGCTTTACGATCTTGTGTAATTTTTCTGTATCATGGGAACATTACATGGTCATGTTGGTTTGAAGCTCTGTTTACGCTGCTGTTTCTGCTGTCCCTGTTGTAATACCCATGCCTGGGGATACACGGCGCTTTAGCTGCACAGCTGGATTTGCTCTTGATCCTGCTGTCTGTCAGGGACTAGGTGACCTGATGTGGGATTTAGGTCCCTCCTGGGGAGTCCAAAGCTTTGAATGTATCTACTTCTGACGTTTCCCAAAATGAAATCTTAAAACTATAAACTGTAAGTATTCTGAAAATTGGGAAATATTTATTTTAAATGAGATCAGGTAGTGTTGCCTTTTATAGCCTAATAAATACATGTATTGAAAACAAGCCGTGAGAAATGAATTTTCTTAAAATAACTAAGGTTTTTCTCTGCACTTTTGAGTTGTGAGTCTGTAGCTGTTTTACAGCCAGCCTGTTACGGGCCGGGGAACACACAGAGTCACGTGGGATGTGTGGACCCAGGGCGAGGATGAGAACTGTGGGGACCTAGTTGTGGATACTAGGGATGGGCAGGCTCATTCAGCTCTCCAGAAGCTCGCACTGTGCCTGTACAGTTAAAGTGCTCAGGGTACCGGGCTGCACTGTGCCATTGCAGGTACCCTTGGACGAGATCACGTTTCCATGGAGCTCTGACATCTACTGGGGAGCTGACCCAGGACTGCCACACCAGGATCTGAGTGGGCCTGGCTGGCGGCTCCCGAGTCCCCCACACATGGAAATGGTTCTCCGTTCCAGAATGCCCTGGTCCTCGTGGGGTTAAATCAGTGTCTGGTTTCCTAACCACAAAGGTTTATGAACACCATGCCAATCCCATTTTTCATTTTATCAAAGTCTTGTGCCACAAACCAAGCGGCTTGGTTACAGCGGCTGTGGTGTTAGGGCCATCTCTATTATTTTAATAATAATAATAGCTAGGTGGTGGTGGCACGCACCTTTAATCCCAGCACTCGGGAGGCAGAGGCGGGCAGATCTCTGTGAGTTTGAGGCCAGCCTGCTCTGTAAGAGCTAGCTCCAGGACAGGCTCCAAAGCTACGGAGAAACCCTGTCTCAAAAAACCAAAATAATAATAATAATAATAATTAATATTCTATTAATAACACATGGAATTCTTTGATCTAACCCACACTTTTATTGATGAAGCTGGGACCCAACAGTGGACCACAATATGCAACTCTTAGTCAATATTCTCTCCCTGCACCCTACCACACATATCTTCACTTACATTAGCTAACAGTTACTAGAGTCTCTCTCGGGTGAGTTTTGGGGCCACCAAGTCCTGCGACATGAGTCAGCTCCTTCTGAACATGCGTGTGTCTGCAGATGGCAGTGCACAGCTCACAGATACCCCCAACAGGGAAACGTTCTAGTTGTTAATCTAACCGTGATCACTCTATTTTCATGGCACTCTTTTTTATAGGAGTTTAGGTTAGTTTTATTTGTTAGTCCCTATGGTAACATATGCTCATAACTCATGGGTGTTCAGGGAAGCAGCCCGTGGAAGCACTGGGTGGTTCTTACACACTTTTTACGAATGGGAAAGCATCTGGGTATGAAAGGGCGTGGATGGGTAGGCTAGGGGGTGTAGTGTTTGGAGACAGAAGGGTCTAGGCTTCGTCATAATTACGGCAGCTGTTTTAAAAGGAGGGGACAGAAGCTAACACAACAGGCCGGAAAGGCAGGCTCTCCAGGACTGCTCAGAGGGCTCGTGTCTGTTCTGGAGCTTGACCTGACTGGGCCTTACGGGACCAGCCATGCCTCCTGCTGCCTTTCACGTTCTAGCAGCCGATCTGCTATGAAGCTAGACTGTCAGGGCACCAAGGTATCGTTTACGCAGAAGACATAAGAAGGGCTGCCAACAGGCCAACAGTAACGAACTGAGTACGGCAGCGTTATGAAATACAGAGTCCACAAGTTTGATGGTAGATACTCTACCTTTTGGGTAGTTTACTTGGTGTACTCAGTATAAGTGTCATAAGTTAGGATTATTTTTCTACAATACATCATACTGTCCCTTTAAAGTCAGAGTCCACAGTCCACGGCCCGGGCTTGGACTCCCGGAACTTGAGAGCCTCGCCTTGCTGATGACCACTGAGCTGTCCAGACTTTAAAACACTACTGAGGAGCCTCGGCTTCCTGTAATTGGCTTAGATGTTATTTCTTGAAAATTATATGCATTTTCCTGTAACACTGACATGATCAGTAGCTTTTGACTAGTTAAAAAAACTATGTGTATAAGTGTTTTGCCTTCGTGTGGGTCTGCACATCACATGAGCCTGGCGCCCATGGAGGTCAGAAGAATGTATCAGATCTCCTGGGACTGGGGTTATAGATGCCGTGTGGGTGCTGGGACCTGGACCTAGGTCCACTGCCAGAGCCACGAGGGCTCCAAACCACGGACCACTGGCTACATTTACTTCACAAAATCTCCATTGGGCTTCAGTGGGTAAAGTGTCTGTTGAGCATATAGCCCAGTATCTGAGAACATCTTACGTTTATGACAGGGGCATTTGTTCTGTCTACTAGTGTCTTCCACGCATCTAGAGGAATGCCTGGTTCAAGACAGATGAATTCAACATATTTGATGAATGAATGAATGAATCTTAAACAAAAGATGCCCTCAGATAAATCATCCCCTCAAGATGGGGGCAGCTGCCAAGCTCCAAAAGTCAAAGACTTTTCAACTTTTCCAGCATCGTCTGGTGCCTTCCCTGCAGCCGTCGGGCACCATGGGTCTGCTCTGTTTGCTGACCAATGCCTTCATGTTCGACAGTAGTGTTCAGGCAGTCAGTAGATTCCATTTATGCAATGCCACCTCAGACAGTGCCTAAGTAATATCAGTCTATCCGAAGTAGGACATATATGCTCTAGTCTTAGAAAATGCCATCTTGGACATACTCAAATGCAAACATCCTTAAGCTAGGACGTTTGGTGACTTCTTACATCAGTGACTTAAGAATTTAAAGAGATTTTCTTCCACTAAGTTAGACACCTCTCTTTTGTCCCTGCTCCCTCTTCTTTCAAGAGTTATGAACTCATGTAGCCCAGGCTGGCCTTGGACTTGCCACGTAGCCAGGAATGGCTTTAAACTTCTGATCCCTGTGCCTCTGCCTCACGAGTGTCCTCACCATGATGCCTACCCTAAACTGCCAGAGTCACTGTGGCTACCAGGACAGTAAGCAAGGGTAACACTTAGAAAAATAGTGTCATTAATCTTATTTTAAAATAGGCCTGATATGTCAATGAGATACATATTAAACCAACTCACAATACTAGACATTTTAAATATCTTTATATTAAATACCAATAGGAGGCTAACATTTTAACATTTTTTTTAAAGTCTTAGTTCAACAGAATGAAACCACAGCAACCGTTCTCAGTAGATGACGTAAGCAATAGTTAGATCTCAGCATCTAGACACAGTACTTTTAAAATGGTTTGTTTCTTGTTCCGTTTAAGAGTCTGTGAGAGCCCAGCCAGTCCCGGGCTGTACACGGAAAGAGAGGAGGCCTCTGCTTCCGTTGGGGACCACGGAAAGGGCTGTGCCTATGCTAAGTGCAGCCCATAGCACACGGCTGTGGCAGGGACAATGGGATGCAGCATGGCTGCATGGGACGCAGCATGGCTGCATGGACAGCTGCCCAGAAGAACCTCGGCAACCCACGCAATCCCTGGACCACTGAACTGTGCTGGGGCCACGGAGGAAGGTGGGAAAACAGCACACACCATAAAACACTGTTCCTCCAAAGTCGTCTGACAACACAGAGCAGACCACGGAACGATATATGAACATAGTTGGCAGAAAAAAGCCCATGATCAGTGAAAAAGAGTGTTCAGTACCGTGACACAGAATGTATTTTGGAATTATCTGATACTCGTATTTGGCTAATGATTCAAGTCAGTTACTAGTTTTTCTAATTTCGTGGCTAATGAAGACAGCCAGCTAGAAATAATAAAGGCAGCCCATTCAAGAACATGAATAAAACTGCTGGGTTTATCTAGATCTGTAATTTCAACTTTAAAAAAAAAATGTTTGCCTTAAGAAAGCTGGCTCCCTTAATGGATGTGCAAAGATAGTTTTATTCAACCGGTGACCAAAATGACAGCAAGACCCACTTAGCTTGGTGGAGTATATATTAAACAGAAACTACTTGAGAATTTGGGAAACGTTCTTTCTTCTATGGGTGTTTACTTTCGCTTAACCGCAGCCAACAACAAAGCTAGGTCACCGAAGAGCGCAATCGTGCCTGCAGTTTTACAGGCCAGTGTAGAAGATGTGCTAACACCCCTGTTCCCCCCCCACACACACTCAGATGAAGGATGTCCACTATCGTCTGACATATCACTGCATTATAAAGTTGGCTTTGAACTGTGCCATAGGCAAAAGAGCGGAAGACTTCCAGCCATACAGCAGAGGGAGCATGCCAGTATCTTCAGGACAGAACCGCTCCTACATCACACTGCGGACTGTCCCGTGATGTGCGGCGGCTGAACACTGACGACACAGCATTTACTAGAGGTCACTCTACTCCTCACCTTTCCCAGACACTGGCAGTCTAGTCCTGACGCCTTGGGCGGGTCTCTGCTCTGTCCCGCAGAATCTACTTTACACAAGTGACTCTCCGGTTCACCTTCAGTTAAGACGCGTGAAGTCCTTCGGAGTAACGGGTTTCTAGCGAAGAGAAATATCCACTCGCTAGCAACAGGGGGGCAACAACCGTGTTGTTCTTTCTTGCATTTCCCTAGAAACACAGCAGGTGAAGGAACAGGAGCAGGAGGGAATCACAGATGGGAAGAAAAATGTCTCCAGAGAAGAGAGAAATTCATGTTTACACTGCGTTCATCTGCAAAAAGACAAAATGCAGTTAGGGTCATTACGCGGATGCCGTGACACGCGACTCCTGTATCTTACACCACTGCCCTCGGAGCAAGGGGATGCCCCCTAAGCACATTACCACATGGGACCAGAAGGGCTGGCATGGCCTCGCCTCCCTGAACTACTCAGGGCCGCTTCCGCCACCTAAGCTGATGGGTTATGACTCTGGATTAAATCTGTGACTCAACCCAGACAGACTACAGAAAGCTTTCAGCTGTTAATGCAAGTCTCGGGGCAGCAGCTTAGTAAATCAGCTTGTTCAAAAGGCGGGGGGAAATGCTGAGCCACATGCACCCGGGGGAGAGGGATAAGGGAAAAATGATGACAGTCCCTTAATGGCCGCTGGGTAGGCAAAATCAACAAAGCCCGTGATTCAGATGTGGGTCAGAGAAGTAAAGCCACTACAGAGCCCTTCAGCTCCCCACCCTAGCCTGCCCTGTGGCCCTGGATACAG